TGTATGCTGGTGTAGGATGGAGGTCTGTGTGTTGTTAAGGAGGCTTGACTGGGTTCCTCGATCAACCACTACTGCCCACTCTGTCAGTGTTGTGATGGACGTCATAGCTTGGATCAAGTCAGATAAGAATTTTTCATAAGCGTGTTTGTAAAATTCTTTATACATAAAACAGCTTGAAAATCTCAAGTATTCTCTATAAAAGTCCTAGTTATTTTCTAAAGGAGGATCTTGCCCTATGAAATGGGACAACCATCAAATATAGAAGAGCATTACTTCATTAACAGGCTACTAGCGGGGCTCTGTAGGTGACCCTGCCAGTCCGCAGTGATAGCAGAGGAGGGTAAAGTTCAGCAATCTCGCTGGTCGGCTTTGGTTAAATTTAAGGAATCATGTTCCTTCAAAGAGGGGAATGCAATGATTATTTATTATCGCCCACACCAAATTCTTCAGTGATATGAATCTGAAGTCAGCTATTTGCCAGTGTCTTGTTCGAATTTTCTTGTTCCACCTTAAATGGAGCAGCAGTTCTGGGTTTCTTTTGTTGCTTGGGCAGCCATCTTTTCTTTTTTCTCCTACCACTCTGTTTGGAGTGAGCCTCTGAAAAACCATGTAGCCAAGTAGCACTAACACTCCACCCTACCCCTCTATCTCAACAAAAATTGGGACACCCTACCCCTAGGCGTGAACGAGCACAACAGAAGAATAAGGGCTAAGTAGTAGGGGCAAGAAGTGAAATGGGATTAGCTAGCTAAGTAATTTTTCTGTAGCCTGCTGGTTACAGACTATCACAAACAGCACAAGGTATGTTTTTAATTAACATACTTAACAGCTTTAGCTGTTACACTAGTTTAGTGAACATGGACTGAAGGAAAAACAACTAAACTTTCAAAAAATTAGTAAAGTAAAGAACTTGATGGTGGACTAACACATTTAGAAATACATGTGTCATGCTGACATTAAGTACGGATTTAGACAACATGCTGTTAGCTAGCTAGCTAAACTACCTCATTCAGCTGCTTCTGAGTTAGAAAAGGTAAGAACTACATACAGTTCTCAAGAAGTTTCTCATTATCAGAAATATCAGAAATGTTTGTATGATACTAAACTTGAGTGTTATGTTAAACATCCAGCAAAGCTTGAATGAAAAATAGGATATAAATATGATAAAACATGGCTTAAAAACCGCTGATCAGACCTATCTGAGAACTGTGTGGACAGCTCTCTGTCCAATGATCCCTGCCTGCTTCGCCTCTCATAAAGAACTAAAATCATTATCCAGCTTTTATGTGACGGTAACTGGACACAAAAGGTTGTGATGTGTGGACAGACAGATACAGACAGGTGGTCTTGCTTACTTGCTTTTGGTTATGCTGGGTTAGCTTTAGCTTACTAATTGCCTCTGAAACTGTTTTGTGGACGAAGCAAGAGACCTCAGCCTTGTGACTGGTCAGGGGAATGCTTATGGAAGTGTTACCCTAGATTAGGACTGCTCAGTTTACATCGAGAGGAGAGAAATATGGTGAAATATAAAGATCATTTATTGGTCATTGGAACATTATTGAAACTGTAAACTTAGTACATGTTTACTGTGTGCCTGCAAGCACAAGATTAACCTTCTTAGAAAGAAAACACAGATTTAAGTACCCTGGGTTTTTAACTGAAATTAAGAGCGTGTGCCCTGTGGTTTAGGTGTAGTTAGGGCTGTGATCTTCCTTCATTGATAGTTTAATTCTATTTAACTGAATTGTCAGCGAAGTGGAACGCAAACATGGATTTTGGAAGAAAGAGCCTTAAAAATAAAATCACAGACACTACATTCCTCATATTATAATCAGTTTTTGCCACTGGATCTCAACAGTAGTAATGATAGCGCTCACTGTAGGGTAAAACGTGTATAAAACATATTGTTTTTGTGTCAAAGATTCAGACATTGTGTCTGCCAAAGATAAGATTGACCCAGTGTGGTCAGTAACGCCTGTAATGAGAGACAAACTGAAGGAGCTGAATTAGATTTGGGGCATCTGATGGCCTTTGCATCTGACCCCTGATTTCTGCTCTGTTGGGAAAGTGGCAGTAATGTCAAGGAATCAGCATTCACTAGATTTGTCTGATTTGATCATAGATGGATATGAAAGCTTGACTGCATCTTTACCTTTGTTATTTTTCAGCCATGACTGTTATTGGACTGTTCTTCACAGAATCGCTGGTGCAGGCTTGTCTTCACTTTGAATACAAGCATGATGGTGAACAGAACAACATGCATGTTTAGAGATATGTTTTGCTTTATGTCTGACAGTGTTATTAGTTATGTGTTCCTTGCTCTATATGGTGGGACAGTATGACAGGGACTGTGAACGCTCACATCAGTGCAAGAGGCCTTTCAGCTAAACAGGCTATTAGTGTGTACAGAGCGTTGAGCACAATACTCCCCCATTAAAAAACAATCTGTTTTGTGTTTGCCTCACTTTGGTTGCATCAACACTCATTTTTTTCAGGGAATGTAAGCAAATTAGCTTATTGTTTAACTAAAGGATCCGTGCAGTTAGCATATACACTTCCCAAAGCTCTTGAGTTGATATAATATGTTCTGCAACATTCAGAAATGCACGGGAAACTAAAGCTGTAAATACAAATGCACACATGCGCTGGTGATTTATTTTTATTAGGTTTTCTTAGCCAGAACGTCTGGAAGTGGAGTGTTTTTGTTTGGATCTCTTATTCCTTCCTCCAATGACCTGGAGAGAAGTCAAATATTGCATTTCCAGACCGCGCAAAACATATGCTTTGTGTTCTCCCACCGTGGCCATCTCTGCTAGGCTGCACTGTCCCCATAGCCTTCAGTATCCTCACAGCAGCTTTAAAGACTCTGCAGACCCCAGCATGGAGGAACAAACTTCAGTGTGCTGTTTTCACTGCCCCGACACATGGAGCTCATGCATGGCTCCATATTTAGCTGATGAGTTGAATCAGATGTGTTAAACAGAGAACAGGCTGAACAGGGAACATGTGCAGTGGTATAGAGTGAAGGTTAAGAACTGTGTATGATGATCCTGTTTAACCCCTTTAAACCTCAGTGAACCCATTATATTACAATTTAGCATCAAAGCAGTTAATGGATAATGAAGCAGAGGTTCTGCAAAAAATAGACAATAGTTGATCAGCCGATATGTGTTTGATCTCTGAAGGTTGCTTCTTTAGATTTGCACTGGTGCTACAAGGCTAATATAGATAACAAGTAACCGAAGTTTATACTAATAATACCAATTAGCATTGTGCAAACTGCATCGCTAAATCATCACACACTCACCTCCAGCCATATCAAGTATAGGCCTGTCCAAACACATTTTTTAAGCTGACCACAGTTGTTTTTGCAATTATCTTTTTACAGTTATATTTGCATCACAAGAGAAAGTGAACTGGGTGCGTTTTCATTGGATTTAGGCAAATGTATGTAAATAAAAGAAACATGTCATGGGTCTTACCAAAATAGCAAGAATTCTTTTGTTTCTATGCCCTTTAGAGGGCAGCAGTGAGTAATGTTTATTTATTTGATGTTTGTTAATAACACCTTTAAGGGGGCAGCAGTGAGTAATGCTTATTTATTTGACGTGTATTAATAACAGCCTTAGAGGGCAGCAGTCAGTAATGTTTGTTTGTTTGAGCTCGAGCTTCGTCTGTTGTCAGGTTAAATCTCCTAAATATCCATTAATGATGTGTCATTCACAAACGAGTCGGCTCTTTTAGGTGAACACTGAGAGCCATCTCATGTTGACGAGCCCCAGGGAACACTCGGAGCCCCCTTTTTTAAATTAAGACAAAACAAATGGTTCTGCCTCCTCATTATTCCCAACACCTGTGTTGTGTTAGTTCTTGGCTGTTTCCAAGTGTGCCTCGCTAGTTATTCTGATTTTTGACTCTGACCTGCATTGTTTGTTGATGACAGGATGATTGTTTTGCCTGCATTTTTCTCGTCTGCTTGTCTTATAAGTCCTGCCTCCCGAAATTCATCCAGTCAGACTACTTACTCGTATCTAACGTTCTTTGTTTTGTGACAAACGTAATGCAATTTTTGTTAATTAAAATGTAGACATGTTTTTTTGAAAAACAAATGATAGATAATATTGTTAACTTGGCTAATTTAAAAAAAAGAAAAACAAACAATGCTGTTGAATGAAGAGCCATGCCCATCTCTAGTATCAACACCTAGGCAGCTAGAACAGCTAATTTGGCCACTTTCGGCTTGTACTTTAATAGTTGAATGAACAAAAAAGGCAATTAAATCACTTTTATTTATATGGCAGTTAGATATCATGATTGTGACAGGCCCACTCAAATAGACTTATGCACTTTCTGATGCTGTGTGACACACATCTATAAAAATGGACAAAAGTGTGTTGCATCGCCGAAAACTGTTGTAGCAGCAATTTGAGAGTTGAATTTTGTCCATTTGTCTTTGTCAGAAACCACATATGCAAGTCTGTTTGATATTACTTAACACACATAGCTTGAGGCAAGTGTACAGTAATATACAAGGACAGCTCCAGTGCAAACATGTCTTGGCTGGTTGAATACTTTTGGGAAAATTAGAAAATAATGTGGATTTGTTTTTTTTACTAAACTATTCCTTCATGATTACTGAATAAAAACGGAGTAAAAAGCCTGTACTTTAAAGGTTTTTACAACAGACAGTGAGACGGGAGAGATGATGATAACGATGATGATGATAATGAAGATGACACTGATATCCTGATAAGCCTAAAACAGACAATATAGAGCATGAGCAAGAGAGATTGATAAAGAGAGTGAGGGATGATGTTGGTCTAAGCTGAAGTAGTGAGTAGGGTTTGCCTTTTCTGGTAGTTGTCAAAGGCAGAGGAGTGTGTAGGGAGTCCTGTGGGGATATAAAGCAGACAGTGGGAGAGACTGGTGCGTGATCATAGCTCACACTGACTGTACTGCACTGTACTAACCTGTGCTCTATGCTCTACTCTGTCTCTCAGTGAGAACACGAGGAGTTTCTGTGTGAGACACCATGGATGAGGACTTTGAACGCCGCAGAGAGCTCCGCAGACAGAAACGAGAGGAGATGCAGAAAGAAGCAGAAAAGTAAATCTCACACACACACACACACACACACACACACACACACACACACACACAATGTACATATGCCCTATATGTGTTCTATATATCGCTACTGTCGGAGCAAAATCTCATGTGGGAATAGACATACTTTATTGTTAATATAAGTCAGTGGAACCAGACTTCTTCTCATGAGATTTTGGGCTATTTCTTTTGGCCCCTTCATCATGAAATGTACATACAATGTAAAGGGCAATAGGTATTTTTTAAATTATTGCAAAAACTGAAGAATGACAAAAATGGAGATACAAGGTTTTGCTCCGACAGCAGTGATATGTAAGTACCTATATGTACTAATAATAAGAATCATGTATTATATCACCAGGAAATCATTAGAGCCTTCTAGACCTTCAGAGAATATAATTTGAGAGCTGAACTGAAGGCCCAATGTGCTGTTCACCACTATATATAAACCGATCAGGCATAACATTATGACCACCTCCTTGTTTCTACACTCATTGTCCATTTTATCAGCTCCACTTACTATATAGGTGCACTTTGTAGTTTTACAATTACAGACTGTAGTCCATCTGTTTCTCTGCATACTTTGTTAGCCCCCTTTTACCCTGTTCTTCAGTGGTCAGGACCCCCATGGACCCTCACAGAGCAGGTACTATTTGGGTGGTGGATCATTCTCAGCACTGCAGTAACACTGACGCGGTGGTGGTGTGTTAGTGTGTGTTGCGCTGGTACGAGTGGATCAGACACAGCAGTGCTGCTGGAGTTTTCAAACACTGTGTCCACTCACTGTCCACTCTATTAGACACTCCTACCTTGTCAGTCCACCTTGTAGATGTAAAGCCAGAGACGACAGCTCATCTGCTGCTGCACAGTTTGTGTTGGTCATGCTCTAGTCCTTCATCAGTGGTCACAGGACGCTGCCCACAGGACACTGTTGGCTGGATATTTTTGGTTGGTGGACTATTCTCAGTCCAGCAGTGACACTGAGGTGTTTAAAAACTCCAGCAGCACTGCTGTGTCTGATCCACTCGTACCAGCGTAACACACACTAACTTGCCACCACCACATCAGTGTCACTGCAGTGCTGAGAATACCACCCAAATAATACCTGCTCTGCAGTGGTCTTGGGGGTCCTGACCACTGAAGAACAGGGTGAAAGAGGGCTGAAACAGGATGAAAGCTTGCAGAAGATGTGTATATACATATACAGTTTAAGATTTTTCTAAGCATATCCTAATCCCAAACCTGGCTGTAACCTCAGTAACCAGGAAGAAATGGTTTTGCACAACAGAGTAACATACTTTACAAAGTCAGGACCCTTTCATCAGTCCTGCAGATTAGCCCTGCTTTTTTCTGGTTTGCCTGCATTGTCAGGACATTTTGTCCTAAATAAGATACAGAATAAACACACATAAACACAAAGCACACACAAACAAACTGATAGTTTACACACTGACTCTCATTTGCTCTGATATCTAGGAGTCAAACTGTTAAAATGTCAATGCCTGCAGTCCCATTATTTTAAAAGGCTTCAGTTCAGTCAGTATTTTAGTAAAGTAGGGCTCTACTGTTGTATTGTTGTAGATCTCTCTCTCTCTCTCTCTCTCTCTCTCTCTCTCTCTCTCTCTCTCGCTTTCAGGCCAAACTGGACAGGCCTGCATTTCTCCCATCCAAACAGCACTCTCTCTCTGCTTGACTCTTTTCCTTATAAAGGTTGTAGCATCTGTATATCTTGCCCTCAGTGTTTTACTGGAGCGATTGCAGTGTTTGCAGTGTGCTGCTTCTGCAGAAAAGTGTTGCAGTGTTAAACAGCAAGCAAAATAAATGACAGCTACTGTATAGAGTGATAACACACTGGAAAAGCTGATACACTGAATTCACTTAATTCAAAAGTGAACATTGTTTCTACATGAATAAAATATGTTTGGTGATGATGAATATGGGGATATTTTCATGCACATATCTGTCAACCTCAAAACACTCGGACTAAATCCTCCTGGATTAGCTTTAAAGAAGATATACATATCTAGAGGATTGCAAGTTTTTACATCAATATATAAAATGCAGACAATTTAACACATCAAAGCATCATCTAAACTGCTCTTCCTGAAAATGATAAACACCAAATACAAATAAAGGTTTGAACAGTTTTGAACGGTTTTATCAGTCAAATCTAATCATCGGTCCAATGACAATATTTTGAAATGATTATGTACCAGTACAAATACAATTATGATATCATTTTGCATCTCTAAATAGCTGACATCTATACTTTCTGTCTTTCAGTTTAATTACTTTCTGAAATAATGGTAAAGATGTTATGTAGTATATTTTATTCATGTTGAAAGTTTGTACACATTTGAATAAATTTAGTGCTTCACTTTTTTAGCACATTAGAGGACACAGTGCTAACAATTTGCATGATATTCCAAATTTTTTGGCAATAGATATTTAGACTTTATTGTACATTTTGGAAATTTGTAGAATGATGTGGAAACATGGCATCAGTGTTAGGCACAGCGTTTATGGGCTGTCGTGCATTACTGTCAGTCAGTGGCTGCGTATTTACTCCGAGCTTATTCAGACTCGTCCATGCTCATTTGTTTTTCAATGGAAATTGGCAGTTGGCAAATCAGCTTTCCATTTATCTCAGCAAGCTTTGGAAATGCTTTTCTACAGTCAATATTTACATGTTTCTCATAATCTAATAAGTCACATACACTGAACAGCCCCATGCAGTTAGGCCTTATGAAATGACTTGTTCCTGAATTATAAAAATGCACCCACTCTTTGTTTCATTGTTGCTCGTGCTGGGTTTGAGTGGAGTGTTTATAGCGTGAGATGAATTGTTCTTTGTAAACGGCAGGATGATGTGACTCTCTCACCCGTCCTGGGCTTTCTCCATCCTCCTACAAGTCCCACAATCCAGCAGGCCTTATATGGTCTGGCAAGCGGTTGTGTACAATTCAGGATGACAGATACACTAGTGCTGTGTGTGAAAGTGGGAATGCGTATCAGACACTGCTGTAGCTACCAAAGGGTGCAACTTCTAAATGGAATTCTGTGTAGGTGTTTCTTACTGGGTCCGACTGAATGTCTTAGTGTTTTACGTGGCAAATAACATAAGGGAAAACCCTGATTTACTACCCAGTGTGCCAGGGATGACAAATCTTTAGTTGAAAAGGAAAAGTGAAAATTTATTTTTTTCCCATGGTGATTACAAATAAGGTAGTAATTAGCCAAAAACTAAACCTGGAATGTTCAGATACGTGTTGAGGTTTGTGTGCACTTCTTTCTGTCTCTGCATGAGTGTATAGTTTGTGTGGGTGGGTAATGCACACTACTCCGTCCTTGGCAGAATCTCAGGTGCTGATGCTTTAATAAGGCCCATGGTGCTTCTCTCTCATTCCCTTCCTCTCCAGATATAGAGTAACACTAACTCCTACACACACATACCGTCCGGCCTTCACCAACCCTCGGGCCCTCTTACTGCCCAGAGTGCAGCACTGCTCCTACACGGTGAAAGACATTCTCACTAAAATGAGTTCAGTTACAAAATCAGACATGAGAATTTCTTATATGACACTCAGATTTAGTGGCCTTACATTCCGTGCTAAGTTTTACTCTGCTGACACGTCAGTTGCCACATATTCTGCAGCTCTTTCCTCACACACATTTTCTAAGCCGTTTATCCTTCTGGGTCGCAGGGAGGTGCTGGAGCCTATCCCAACGGTCTATTGAAATCATTCTTGTTGTAATAGATATTTATCAGAGACTGGATGCCATCTAGTCCACCATTCCGCCTGTAATGCAACTAATCGGAATGGGAGGATAATTTTGTATTGCACATGAAGGGAGATCCAGGCTGGAGAAAAGCAAATGAACCAAGCAGTATGTGGGTAGACGCTAGGACACAACTGATCTTTTGAATTAAATAAGCCAATATTAAGATTCCACAGATTTGTCAGTATTGGCAGAGATCTACTTTGAGTATTTGAGTAAAGAATACGCACAGCAAAAAAATTGTACCTTGGCAGGTGAAATGATCTTAAACCTAGTTTATATTGAGATTGTTGCAAACTTATTTTAGGATTATTTCACTTCTTTCAAAGCATTTTTTCTTGATTTTTATGTCATTTTGTAAAAGTATCTCACTATATTGGCTAAAAATTTTGCTGGTTTCAAACACGTTTCTTAAGAAATGCAAAAAGTATCTGCCAATATAGTGAGATAATCTGACTCACGTTCAAATGAAGTCTGTCGAAATCTCATTGTTTAATTGTTTAATCGAAAAACACTCTCCACTTTTATTGTGAAATGTTTCCGAGGTCATTGTGCACAAAGTCTAACATAAATCCTGCTGTGAGAAATATGTTATGAATCCATCTGAAATGTCCTTTTGAATATGCTTAGAAATGAACAGGAATGCATGAATGTAGAGAAGAAAAATATTTTTAATCAGATCTCAGAACTGCATTAAAATAAGCACAATTTGTGTGAATGCTGTCATTAGTACTAAGGAAATAGACATTATTCTACTTAGATTATATAGGAAACAAGCTTTTCAGTGATGTATGACGTTACATGGCAATACATGGTTGTGTCAAGGTGGAGCTAAAATATGATTTAAGTTGCTAACGTTTGGAAAATACACACACAAGACACAAGTGAATGCAAACAGACTGAGCACATTGAAATAAATATAATTCTGTTTGTTAAAAAATCTGAAAATGCGGTTGACAGGACCAATTTTCTGAGCATATTGGTCATTAAAGCAGTTTTTAAATACAACTTTTGAAGTCTTTATTGGAATTCTTGGCATGTTAAAATCAGTGTCTGTACAGTATCATCAGATCCTACAGTCACACTTTATTTGGATGGTCCCCTATAGATGATCTGCAGATACTCAAATTATTAACAAACTTTCTGGTAATAGTTGATTATCGACAACATAATGGTTAGGATCTGGTTTAGGAGTAGGTGTAGGTTTTGCACTGAGGTTAGGTTTAGGGTTAAGGACAGATTAAATAGAATCTTTCACACACAACTAGCTAAACACAGACTGAGCGTCTACAAAACAAATACGGTGGACCATCCAAATAAAGTGTTACCGATCCTAATTACAGATTTAACTTTTCATTAAAATGCAAAATATTCATTCTAAAGCAGTGAATGAAGTTGCATGGAACATATTTGAGTAATGTCTCTGCTGAAATATAACACAGCACACGCACAGTTGAAAAAGACACTAATGATCATTCTAATGCGGTGTGATGAAGTCCTGCTGCAGATCCGAAAAGCAGAGCCATTTGAGCTAAGCGGGAAATCAGGCCACAGAATCAGTCAAACGCTCTGTTAAAGCTGCTGCCAATTCCACCACACTTTTCTCACTAACAGCTTTTCTGAGATATGAGATATGATGGATTCTGACTGGGCAAAGCACTTCCTCCAAACAGATACGCCGGGTCGGGTGGAGGGGGCGGGTTGATGGTGGGGGGATGAGTAACACATTCTTCATTACTTTCTCATTTCTGTAACATTGCAGTCACGGAGCATTTCTTTGTTGCTCGTACGTGATGAAAACAATAAACTACATAATATACAATACAACTCTACAGTAATTCTGTATTGGACACCAGTTGTGGAGTGGTTATGTGTTTGGATATTCAAAAGAGAAACTTTATTGAGATGGATGAGCCTCAAATCTTAACCACTCTTTTCATGCTAGAATGAAACCTCAAGGCATTTGCACCACATCCATGCCTTTATAGTGGAAAAAACGAAATTTATTGGAAAGAGGAAATATTCAGTGGGAAATTATTGATGAAAAAGCAGTGATTTCCACATCCACCCAGCTCAGTGTATCCAAGCCCTTAACAACTTTTGAAGGGGCTCTTGTTTCTGGGAGAAGCAATCTCATACACGCTCACTTAAGGTCGTATTGTTTTTTAATGAGTAGGATATTGTGTAATAAGATGCATTGACATTTTTACAGTAAGTTGTGATTTTGAAATTGTCTCCTGGCTGAGTTTGAATTCTGTGGCCACACTGTGGTCAGAACCACAACAAATACAGTTCTTTCCTCCACCCTGGGGTCTACATGGTTCTTCAAGGCAGATTGAGCAGTCAAGGATGAACATCAAGGTCATAATGGGAAAAATTCTGGCATTCATCTCACCTGGCAGATGCCCATAAACAGTTTACTGGACACCTGAAATAAGACATCGTCCTCCTCATAGTTCCTTAAATCAATCGATTCAAGTGGCCAACCCCAGCTCCCTTAAGATTATGAAGAAGGCCTGTGCTACATTTTTCCCACAGTTCTCTTGGTCCAGCTTTCTCTGAGACACAGCTGCTTCACTCCACACCACCAGGTCAAGGAAACTCCACAGACGCTGGAATGTTTTGACTGCTGTTTTTCTTCCAGGGCTAAATAGCCAGCCATGATGTTCTAGACTTTGACAGGAGAGTCAGGCTGTTCACTAAATCGCTTCCTTTCTCCACCCATTTGGTCTCTGTTACTTTGGGTGTTTGACAGATACAGTGCATGGATGTACAGTATGAGTATCTTGCAAATTCCTTCCTTGAAGACATTTCCTCCAAGAAAATTGCGTGCCTCTCTCTTCAGATGACCGATCCGGTTTGGAAATCCCAAAAAGGATGGGATTGTGTAGGATTTCCGTTCTTTTTTTTACCAGAACGAATAAGTGGACTTGTTGTCCCTGTTTTGAATCTTTCCACCATCCGCAACATCTGTAAATCATCGGCAGGGGGATGTCGAGAGGGGGAGAGGGAAATCGTACCCATTCTCTATCAATGGGCCATTTCAAATGCACTTTCTCTGCCTGATAAACACTGGCATGCCGTGGCAAACTGAAGCCAGGCCAGACCCACACCCGCAGTTTAACTGGGAATGAATGGTTCGGTCCACTACACTTATTGGGAGTGTCTAAAAAAGAAAGAGAAACAGCTGTGAGAATCACACTGTTTCAGCATGATTTGGCTCCTTGTTTGGCTGAAAAAATAAGCTAATTTACCACTGCACGATGATGCTAATGGCGTTTCTCCTCTGACTAACTATCCAAACTGCTCTCTGTCTGTTTCCATTTAGTCAGATTTACCTGCTAGAGAAAAAAAGGACAGGGTTGGGATGTAATGGAAGTCAAATATTCAGAATCTGTATTCAGTCCACATTACATTTTGAAAAGGCAGTGTTCCAAAATTTTTTGTAATACTTGCCCACTAAATTAAAAAGTATCAACCATGCTCAACACACTCTAAAGAGGAACATAAACAGCTCATTGCAGCTAAAGCCTGAGTAGACTGATAAATCAGTGTGATGGCCTAGTCATTTATCTCAGTGTTACTATTGGCTCTTTTGAGGGATTTTCAAACCGAAGAGTCTTATATAGCCATAGCGGTTGCTTATTCAGTTTCAGTGCAAATCAATCCATAGACTTACCTTTCTGATCCATAAGACAGGTATCCAACATTATGTGCAACACATATCCATTGCATGTATTGCGATATACAGCTCTCCTAATGAGAATTATAGCCTTGATATAAGTAATGTCTTAGGATTAATGACATACTGGTCAAACATGAGTGCATAAGTATAAAACACAAGGAGCTCATGCTATGTCTGTCTGTCTAAGCTGCTGACATGTTTTATGTTCATGTTGTTTACGTTTCACCTCCTCCTTATATGAGTTATGACATTGACATACACACACATAATGGGTGCTGTTTTTTCAGACCTGTTTTTGGTCTGTCATTAAATAGTTATGACCTCCTTGGAGTGATGTAAAGTTTGTGATGCTTACAATCCAGCCAAGTTCTTCCTCGGCCCATCCCAATTATCTAATACACTAGTTCATATAGAAAACCTGGAAAGCCACTCATGGGTACATGTGCTTCGCTCATTGTTCAGGATGAGTTACCCAACTTTTGATGATGATGATGAAGAGGCTGCCCGAGAGCGAAGGAGGCGAGCCCGGCAAGAAAGGCTACGCAACATGGAGAATGAGGAGATTAGCAGCACTGCCACAGAACTCAACAGCAATTGCAGGTAAAGTCTCACAAAACTCAACAGCACCAACAGGTACAATCTTAATTATTAAATTCAGAAGCCAAAAATGCTAACAAGCAAAGGCTAAGAGAAACCAGTGGTGGTAACAAGCAAAGCAGAAATACAGAAATCAACAGTGCTAATAAAGTCTCACAGAAATCAACAGTGCTAATAAAGTCTCACAGAAATCAACAACGCTAATAAAGTCTCACAGAGATCAACAGCGCTAATAAAGTCTCACAGAGATCAACAGCGCTAATAAAGTCTCACAGAGATCAACAGCGCTAATAAAGTCTCACAGAGATCAACAACGCTTATAAAGTCTCACAGAGATCAACAGCGCTAATAAAGTCTCACAGAAATCAACAGCGCTAATAAAGTCTCACAGAAATCAATAGCGCTAATAAAGTCTCACAGAAATCAACAGTGCTAATAAAGTCTCACAGAGATCAACAGGGGTAACAGGCAAAGTCTCACAGAGATCAACAGTGCTAATAAACCAATTTGGAAAAAATATATTCCAAATATATTTATCATGTGGCAATGTATGAAAATGGCCAAAAATGTATTTGTTACATTTGTTTTTAAATTTATTTATTTGCATTTGTTATTATACTTTTTCAATTGTCTGTAGTTTTTACAAATATACAGATATAACTAAATAAACATGAACTGTTTAGCAGTTCATGCAGTAACCTGTACAGTCTTGTAGACTTCATTAGCTCGTAATGTACATTCTCAACTAACTCAGCAGGTACAGCTGACAGGTTGAGTTGCTCACCAAATTCAACAGGGCTAACATTAGGTTTGCCCTCACAGGAGTCAACAGCATTAATAGGCATGGTATCATCAAGTTCAACAGTCCTACAGTCTCTCAAACCTCAGTTTCAGTAACTGGAAGAGTGAACAGTGTTAACAGGTACAGTGTAACAGAAATCAACAGTGTTAACAAGTACAGTCTGACAGATATCAACAGTGCTAACACATAATACCCCACAGAAATCCAGAGTGCTAACAACTACAAAACAGAAATAAACAGTGCTAACAAGTGCAGTCTCACAGAAATCAACCGTGCTACCTAAACTCTCACAGAAAAAAATAGTGCTAACATGTAATACCCCACAGAAATCAACAGTGTTAACAAGTACAGTCTGACAGATATCAACAGTGTTAACACATAATACCCCCCTGATAGCAAGAGGATAGTGGACCACTGTTGGCCCACTGATGGCAAAGCTGGCGGTCCACTGGTGTTTTGCTCAGCGTTTTCTGGGTAGCCCACCGGTGGTAAAGTGGAGTATTTGACAAAATTCCGCTTATTACTGCTTATTGTCAGCTCACGGTCTATTTTTTTTATTTTTCCTTCCTATCTTTAGTTATACTTTGTAAATTAGTTTAGTTAAAAATTTTAATCTAGCATAGTTTCAGCAACAACATTTTCTATAAAATCATTTTATATAAGGACATTTTATATTATTTTTTTCTCTCAGTTGTTTGTAATATTTATCTTATTTTCCAAATTAAAAGTCTGTGCAATTAACCTCTGTTTGAGAAGATTAAACTAGGTAGAGCTTGTATGCAGGACAGTAATCTGGGTGGCCCGAGGGTGGACCTGCAGTGGTAAACAGTCAGCAGGGTGCCGACCTTATCAAGCCGATATACGCTCGCTATCTGGGCCCACAGAAATGCTAACAGCTACAAAACAGAAATAAACTGTGCTAACAAGTGCAGTCTCATAGACCCCAACAGCAGTACCAAGCACTGGCTCATTGAAGACAAGAGCACTAACAGGTAATGCTGCACAGAGCTCAACTGTACCAACTACCACATCTCATAAAACTCAATAGCGCTAACGTGTCTGATACTAACAAATCATCAACTTCATTCCCTTCATTTATTCCAGCAAAACCACACTCAACAAACAGGTTTTAGACTGTTTCCAGTAAGCATGTTTGTTTGGAACAAATATAAACAGGTTCTCATATGATTGTAGATTTATTACCGTGTTGACAAGACCTGCTTCATCTGACTATGTTTGATTATATTTTATTTGGCAGAGTTATGCCTATAATGATTACATATATCTTCTTCAGTGAGAAAGACGCAGGTTTTACAACACTGATTACAACCCCAGCGTCTAATGATGATGACCAGGCTCTCCTGGAACGGCTCGCCAAACGCGAGGAACGCAGGCAGAGGAGGATGAGAGAGGCCATGGAGAGACAGAAGGAGCTTGACCCCACTGCTGGAGATGCCAATATTACTACGACCAGCGAAGACAGACCAAGCCGCAGGAGCCGTCTGAGGGATGAAGAAGAGGAGTCCACTAACAACGAAGTCAACTCCTTTACGGAGAAGGAGGAAAAGAAAGAGGAGGAGAAAGCAGAGGAGACCAAGGTGGAGGTGCAGGAGGCAGTTGTAGAAAAGGAGGAATCCATGTCGCCACCAGCTTCAGAGGAACCGAAAGACACACAAGCAGAGCAGGAAGAGGAGCAGAAAGAGGAGAAGAAAGAGGAGCAGAAAGAGGAGCAGAAAGAGGAGGACCTGAAAGAGAAGCTCCAGAGATCAGACATTAGAGAACAGGTAATTTTCCACAGAATTAAAACTGTTCTACAAACACTTTAAAGAGTTGATAGTATGAATTAATGTGACTTGGATTTTTTAAATGTATTTCAAACATAACGTTCATGTAGATTTATCTCTTACAGGAATCCACAGAAGAGGAAAACAAAGAAACAGTCTCAAAGATTGAGGTACGGCAGTATTAATATTCATTTTTGGGTTTATGAATGGAAAGTTGTAAGTGTGGAGTTTGAAGTGGTTGCATAAACGATTACACATTATATTTTATAGGAAGAGAGTGAAGATCAAGCTGTCAGTATAAACAAAGTGGCTGAGGAGAAAGCAGATACAGGTCTAGAGAGTGCAGATTTAGAAAAGAAAGAGGTTATAAATGAAGATTTGTTACCTAAGGAGCCTGTAAAAGAGGAAGAAAAAGTAGAGGCAGTCAAGGAGGAACCTGTTATAACCAAGACTAAGAAGGAAGAGAAGCCCGTGGAGAAAGAGGTGGAGGTGCCAGCAAAGAAACCTGAAGAAACACCCGCTGCTCCCAAGACACCAGTTCAAGCTGAACCTCCACTGGAGAAGAAGGAGGTGGAGAAACCGAAGAAAGAGGAAGAGAAACTGCATATACCAGAGAAGAAAATAGAAGTAAAAACAGACAGGTCAAAAAGAGAAGTGGAGGTAAAGGTTGAACTTCCAAAGAAAGATGTTGTGGGAAAACCTCCGGCGAAAGCTGAAGTTGCAGAGAAACCAGCGGCACCGAAGCAAATCGAAGAGAAGCCACAAGTTTCAAAGAAGGAGACTGAGGAGAAACCAAAATGGAAGAAGGAGGCTGAAGAAAAGGCCAAAGCGAAAATAGAGGAAAAAGCTAAGCCCAAGGAGGTATTCACCTTCCAGTTTGGGTTCGGGTTCACAAATGCAATCACTTTGTCTTTCCTGCACTTATTAATGGTTTTCAAAACACTTTGTGGTCATGAAGCATTTATTGTCTTTATTATGTGAAATTAAAGAGGAATTTCACTGATTTTTTCAGAGTTGTATGAAGTGAAATGGTGCATTGTAGAGAAACTGACTTCTTTACAGTGATGATCATAGGAATCAGGAGTCCCAACGTCTACAACACAAATATAGCCAACTTATTTACTATCCAAAATGACAGTGAACCTTTTGAGTTTTTATATGTGATGTTAATAAAGGTTCTATAGCAATAAAAACATTTTCTTTGGAACTTTTTTGTATTACAACACTCTGCATTTAGCTCTAAAAGTGTTTAGACCTAAATCTTATTTCAAAGTTATCATAAACCAATGTCTGAAGCATCAGGCAGCATATTTTGTGTTATAATAATTTTCTGTCAAGTAGCTTTTAGAGGCCCTAACTCTTCAGATGTCTGATTCTTATGACAACATTGTGAACAGTTCTGTTTCTCTAGAATGGAGCATTTAATATCAAAACACCTTTGAATGACTTTGTTTACATTTTATGCGTTTAATTATGCAGAAGATCGAAAAATAAGTGAAATTCCTCTTTAAACAAAGGCATCACAGACTTACAGTCACCACGATCGCTTGATGTTTGCCATGTTCACACTCTGTTGCCTTTAAGAATGGCTTGGTGCTTTGATTCTGTGGCACTGCTGTCTTTGCTGTGGCTTTGCTTGTTGACACGTGCCACAGAGTCTTGGTTGTCAAAAGGAAATACATAGTGTGTTGGAATTATGCAGTGCAGTCAAGCAGTGCTGGTTATTTAAAGCATGCTTTTTCCATAGAGGCTCATTCTTTTATGTGTTTGAATTCTAAATATTTTAAAGCCCCTGACAGGAATTACTGTAACTTTGCAGGCTAAGCAGCAACATTTAAACACTAGATGACTAGCCATAGGACTTTTAGGCCATAGCTTTGTTTTGGTAATTCCTGCCTGGAGATTTAAATAATTACACAGGTTTTCTTTTATCACAGTCTAATCTGTGGTCTATTGTTATGTCGTAGGTCGTGGAAGAAAAGCCCAAACCATCCTTTTTACGTGATAGGGTAAGCTCTCTGGTTTGAAACATAATGTCAATTTCACCCTATGAAGAGACCCTTAATAAATTATCATAAGAATTGCCGTTTTCAGTTCTGTTTGTGTATTCTTAATATTCTTAAGCAGTCATTTAAATGTTCCCAAATAATCCATGTGCAGTTTTGTCAACTGTCTCTCCACTTTTATCTCCATGTGAGCAGAAAGAACCAGCAAAGCAACAGAATGGAGATGACACCTCTGCTAAATTCAAGAAACCTGAGAAGCCATTCGGGTATGAGTGATGCATCTGTTATACAGTAAACAACCAAGGCTTTCTCAATTTAGCTGCTTTTGAGAAGCTTGTGAAGTTGTCCGCATCAGTAACTGTAACATGAATAACTGACTCAACATCTGCTGGCACTCAAGTGCTATTTAGACTAATTGTCCACTTTATTAGAAACACTTAGCTTGTAGTTCCACCTTGCTGGTGTACAGTAGCCCATCTGTTGATGCAGAGTTTGTGTTAGTAATCCTTTTGTCCTTCATCAAGTGCCAGTTTCTGACCACAGAGAGGCTTGGAGCTGGATATTTTTGGGCCACTCTCAACTTAGCAGTGAAACTAATGTGTGTAAAAGCCCCAGCAACACCACTGTAGTCTACCAATTTATCTTGGTAATTCATTGAGTAATCTGTGATTTTTAAGGCTGATCTGTGAAAATGGGCTCAGTGCTGATAGGCAAATGGGCTCAATACAAATAGGCAACCAGACTCTTTTTCTTACTGTAAGAGGAAACGGTAGTAGAATTAATATTCATTATCAGACTGTTTGCAGATATCAGCAAATAAATTTGAATGCTTTTAAAGTCAGTTTTGATGCCACTTTAAGAAATTTGGAGAAATCAATGCCAGTCAGTGGAGAAATCTGTTAACCTGTCATCTGTCCTAAACCTAATTAAACAGAACATTTTACTTCATATACTTTATGTATTACTATATATATTACTAGGACAAAATGTAAGCATCTTGAGATCTTGCTTGTGGGGGTTTCTTTTGTTTCAGTGCTGCTCACAGAAGTGAGCTGGGAGTTTTCTCTAGCAGAGAAACTTCAGTCTGCTGAACTTTATAATATATATATATGTATATATATATATATATATATATATATATATATACATCTCATAATATATAATGTTAGATAATATATTGCATAATATGATATATTGTAATAGTAGAAATTATATATTGCAGATACCGTGTATCATTCAAATTGCGAAGTAATCTAAGCCGAATCACGTTCAAAATAAATTTTTGTTGATTTTTTTTATCAAGTAATTAATCAATCATGACAGCTCCAGTTGTAAATGTGTATCTATGCATGTGCGTGTGTAGTCGTGTTGGGCTGTGCTCTCCTGAGGAAGAAAAGCAGGACCCCAAGGCGAAGCAGGAAGCCGAGCGCAAGCTGGTGGAGCTGAAGCGCCGGAGGAACGAGACAGAGAGTGAGGAGTTTGAGAAGATGAAGCAGAAACAGCAGACTGCTGAGGCTGAACTCGAGGAACTGAAAAAGAAGAGAGAGGAGAGGAAGAAGATCCTGGAGGAGGAGGAGAAGCAGAAAAAACAGGAACTGGCAGAGAAGAAGGCCAAAGAGGAGGTATATACACTCCAGAGCCAGGCTGAGGACCTGAACCAAACTTAACTGAACAATCTTGATGGTATAAAAAATACTGGCATAAAAAATGCTGGTATGTTGGGCTGAAAGATTAAATGTGAAAGAATGTGATTAGAAAGAATGCAATTTTTAAAATTGCAAGAGCTGTAATTTTATTACATGCTGCATTCAAATAAATTTTAAGTGGAAAAATTTAGAGCTTCAGAGCTTGTGAACTGGCAGTCTGCCACACTATGTTCAGCATTCAAACCTCAAGCCCAAGAAATGGCAACAGTGGTCAGAAAAATTGCAATTGCAAATGGATTTTCCCCCAAATCTTTCAACCATAGTCAGATGGTAACAAAGTCATCAAAATTCAAAATACCTCATTCACCTGTGTACTGAACACTACAGCTTTCTGAGTTTTCTGCCACTTTCTTTTTGCAGCAAGAGAGGCAGAGGATGAAAGAGGAGATTGAACGCAGGCGAGCCGAAGCAGCTGAGAAGAAACGGCAGAAAGAGGAATCCACCGAAGAGAGCAAGATGCCATTCAAATGTGTCTCTCCTAAAGGAGCCTCTGCAAAGGTCAGTTGCTTTCTGACCTGAAACAGCAGTTAAAGTTTGAGTTTACTGTGATATGCTAACATATGTTCAGATTCCATTCTGGGCAGAGGGGAAAGATTTCTTACAGCATTTCTCATTTACAACACATGGGCAAATAGTTTCATCAGTACTATTGGTTAGAGTGTAATAATACAACTTATCATGTTGTATTTTAACACATTGCTGTTGTCGGAAGAAAACCTCGTATCTTCAATTTTTGACGTTTTTCAGTTTTCGACATAATTTGAAAATGCCTGTTGCCCTTTACATTGTATGGAAATTTCATGATGAATAGACTGAAAGAATGACCCAGAATGACTTCGGGGAAAAAAGTCTGGTTCCATTGACTTACATTAAAAGTAAAGTAGGTTTTTTCCTTCTCCTGTAAAGTTATCATTTTGGAGATACAAGGTTTTCTTCCGACAACAGTGATATGTTATTGTATTGTTGCATCATAGCTAGCATGTTAGATGTGGGCAGTATGAAGCACAGCTTTTGTTTAGTATTTCTTACACTGCCAAGAAACAAGTTGGAAAAGTTAAGGCCGAACTCCACTGTGCCATTCTAAAGCCTCAGATATTGTCTATAATGAATTGTAAATGGAAATATGTACAGCACCTTTTCAGGTGCTCCTTATTTTTATAGTTTTGAAAATTTTATTCAGTTGAAACACTGCTGTATCGTATTGAAACAAACAATGAATGCTGTGACTATTCCCACAGCTAATTATTAGTGAATGAAAAATGAAAGAATTTCCTTCAATAAATTGCAAAGATCCTAGATTTATGCAAGCTAAAAAGTGAGGCAGGCTGGTGAATAGTATAGTTTAAATTAATTAATTTATTAAGTTAATTTAATGGATTGTGATAGACCTGCATGTTCTGTGTGAAAAATTCTGCACATGTACATGTATTTCTCAATGTTTTGTACAGATTGGCGCAAAAGCTGAATTTTTGAGCAAATCGGCCCAAAAAACGTAAGTCCTAATATGATATGTCTTTATTGTTTGCCTTAGCTCAGTAGACTCTGTCGTCTCTAAAGACTGTTCCACTGTTTTTTAGGGCAGTTAAGGCACCACACACCCCAATTGTGTGCAAGATAGGTAACAGGCTGGAGCAATACACATCTGCAGTTCAGGTAAGCACCATCAGTTCAGGCTCTCTTGACTGTAAAGCATGTCTAAAACCAGGGTTGGGATGTAACAGAATACAATACAAATAAATCTTCAAAATAAACACCATCAGTGCTTGTTGATTAACTATTGTTAAATGAGCACATGGAATTTAACAAACATGCTTATTAGGCAAACTCTAAAGAGGACTTCAATTAAGGGCTTCTTCACAAACACTGAAGTTCCTGCTAAAGCCTGAGTGGACTGATAAACCAATGAGTCAGTCATTAATCTCAATGTGAATAAGCTCCTTTTAGGGATGAGCAAACTAATAATCTCCTCAGTAGTGGACATGTTTGTGAGTGATAAGTTTAGCATTGGTGCTGTAATGGACCTCTGCTCGGGGGATTGTGGGAGCAGCAGTGGACTGAAGCAGGCGGTGAGAGAAAAAAGTTAAGAATTTCAGAACTTAATTTAAATGATAAGCGCATTTTCCATGAAACATATTAACAAAAGAATTACATGAATAAAACCAACCAGTAACAGTGAGGAACACTGTGGATTAAGTAAAAATTACAGTAGATTTTTTCTATCAATATGTATTCTAAAGGTATTCTAAATGTATTCTGAATGCATTACTTTTTTATTTATTGTAATGAAATACATTACATGTATATTTAGGACAGTGTATTCAGCATTCAGCCATCACTACTGTTTCAAAGTATTTTGCCCAACCTGGTCTAAATTATGCTATAAAAAACCAAAATGATTTAAATACAAAAGACAAAAAAATCTGTACTCTGTAATTAAATGATTTCTTTATCTTCCAGACTAAGGATGTGAAGTCCCCCAAGTCTCCTGTTAAGGACCTGCCTGTGGTGGAGGGGGTGCGCAACATTAAGAGCATGTGGGAGAAGGGCAATGTGCAGAATTCTCCTGCTCCAGGTCCTGTTGCTTCCCCTGCCGTCACCAAGGTACAGCAGATTGTCTCATCAGAGGAACTGAGCTTGATTGCTTTACACTACCATTCAACTATTTGGAATGATTTGCCATATTTGTTACTGTTGTTACAGTACATGCATTTGCATAAATTAAGGGTGTCTGCATTGCACAGTGCTTTATGTTCCACTTTTTTGGGAACAAGAAGAAGTTAATGATAAATAACACTTTGTAGTTATCTATCTATAGTGATTACTGGCCAAGTTGTCTTAAGATTCAGTCACCACTAAACTGAATAGTCTGCTGTGGATCTGTAAATAATAACAGTGCATCCTGTCTACACAGGAAACAGCTGGGCTGAGCATTGGCGTGGCAGGACGCATCAACAGCTGGAAGACCAAAACTCCAGAGACAAAGACCCCCGAAACAAAGCCCGCTGAGACTAAGCCTGCTGAGACTAAACCCCCAGAGACAAAGACCCCAGCGCCAGGGAAACTTGCAGGAGGCAAACCTGTGAGTCCTCGACTCCATAGATCTATTAGGCCAAGCTCATTATTAGACTTATACAGTATAACATCCATCCCTACTGGGGTCAACTAATACTTATTATCAAAACATGCTAAACTTATTTACCTCTACATCCTATAGAGTAGTGAGATACATACATTTCCAGGTAAAAAAATGAGTAGCACTTTCTCTGTTGCTCAGAGAATTATAGAGAAAGTTCACAACAAGGAAAGACATCATCTTTCCACTTGTTCCACGGCTAATTCTCATAAATGGAGAGGCCTGTAATTAGGAAGAAAATCTCTTCAGCTAGTGAAAATGATTATATATCACCACCTGGTGGACATTTATCCTGACAGATTGATCAGCAATAATGGAGAACTGATTTCTAACACCTGAAATATTACACTCATGTGTTCTCATTAGACAATATGGGAACAGTGTGGTCCCAGACTGGCCACAAAAGACTCAATGAGGATAGATGAATATATATATGGAAGTCAGCATAAGGTCAGGCACTTGGAGAGTTTATGCGCTCCATGGTCATGTGGCTGGGATCCAACATTTCTCCCAGACTTCTCCTCTCCTCTCCTCTCCCAGACTATATTTCACACTTGGCCCATATTTATTTTAAGCTACTCTTAACAGTTTAAAGATCATTCGTAATGTAGTGTGTACATACATTGAGAAGTGAGTGGGGTTCTTTTACAGTTGAGTAACTGTAGCTTGTACCAAGAAAGCATTGATCATAGTGACACTTGGGCTAGATATTTTATGTGACCGCAGTTGGACAGTCTCTGTGGACATTCAGCTTAACTGATACATGAGGACTAAGTTCCTTCCATGAAACATATGCTGAAATATAATACTGATTTTCTCTAAGGAGGAATTTCTTTTGAGTATATTTTTTGAGAGAAGAACTAGAGAAGGCTGTGAGGCTCACTGTGTCCTTAGATTGCCTTTATATTCTCATGTGGGGATACACCAGAAAAAAATAGCTTTATAAATCATAGGTTTTCATTTATCTGAATTTTCTATAAAAATAAAAGGTCATCTGGAACTCGCTCAGAACTAGTTCAGGCTAATCTGATATTTGAACAATATACCTCAGAAGTGAAATGGTGTTCACCTTTTGAACCTTGGCAGTCTGAATGATGCAGGATGGCCCTCTAGTGGTTAATGGGTGTACTGCACCTTTACCTCTGAAAATGTGTTTTTAATGTACTTTTTACTGAGGAGGCGTTTCAAAGTAACTTGTATATGTTTTTCCATATCTTTATATATTACTGTTCAAAAGTAAGAGACCACCTTACAAGTTTGTCGCTTTCCAGAGTAAAAATTAAGCAGGACACACATATTTAACAGAAAAATACAAAAAAGCCCCTAACACTAAGTATAATATCAAATTTACCCATATTTAATTTGTCCACTTTTTATGTTTGTGTGCCAATTACCACTTTAACTCTTTTAATGCTTCCAGTCTTAAAACCAACCAGTTACAGTTGTGTCCTCCCAACAGAACCTGTTCCCAAAGTCACTGACATCATGTTCCCCTTCAAAGAGGCGTTAACATTCACAAGCAACTACCCGAACACAGTGTAGCTGCTTTCAAATTTCTTTCTCATGTGCATCTAAAATCTCTAAAGGAGATATTTCTGAGGAGATGAGATAGTAGATAATTCACTTGCATAAGGAAAGAGAAAGTCAATGGAAAACAGGAGAATTTTTTTTTCTTTACTTCCAAACATGTTTGGGGCCAACATGTCTGCAATTGTTTTTTCTTAAAGAAAAGAGTTTTTCAAACACATTTCTTTATTTTCAGTGGAAAAGCAAATGGGAGTCCTGACAACCATAAAAGACTTTGTAGACCACAAAAGTGTCGCAATCAAATAAACAATGCTTAAAGCTTTCATCTTTGAGAGAGAGGAGAAAATCAAGCTCTACTCTTCCTTCAGATCTGAAAAAATCCACAGATGTTTCTGTCCTTTCCTCCACTGTGAGAAGACAACACTATGAGTCAGAAAGGATGCATAGCTGTTGAGAAGCCCTTACTGAGAAAAGAAAATTTATAAAAAAAGAGGAAAATTTGCACAAAAACATCTCAGATGTGGAGTAAAGTTTTATGGACTAATGAGTCTTTGTGAGTTTAGACCATACCTTCAACATGTTGGTGGTAGTATGAGAGAAGACTGATTGAGGGAGGTGGGGGAACTCTGAGAACTTGGGCTGGAGCTCTGGGCAGCTTCTGTCAGTAGCTAGAAGGCCAGACCCCCCTCAAAGCTGTAGCAAGACTGATGTAGGACTGAGGAACAGGGAGGAGATGGGGTGGCAGAGGGGACTGTGAACACTTCGTCACGGGGGACGGAAGGTGAGGATGGGCATTAGATTGGAAGAAGTCCCTCCCCCCCTAACTTCAGTTATAACTTAAATATATTACATTTGTAATTGAGATTACTTGGAATGTGAGAAGCAGAAAATGCAACCAACTTGGTGAGGAAAAATCCCACTGCAGATAAAAACTGAAAGCAAGGCTTTTGAAAAGAAAGGAGGCTATAAAAAGTCAGTGTGTTCACACTAAATACTGATGTTATATTTAGTTGTTGAAGCTTCTGTGTAATTTTCTCTTACATGTGTTTTCTGTTTTTTTCCTAATACTAAAAAATGAATAACCTAATTAAATAAATAAAAGGTGATCCTTGACTTTTGCACAGTACTGTACATGCTTTTCCTTTTATCTTTTTTTATCTGTGTCTATAAACCCTGTTTTCTTCATCTTGATCTCAAATCTTCTGTTTCTGGTTATCTGGTAGTAGAATGACTCTTCCTCCAGGCAGCTCTCCTCGGCTCTCCTCTACTCTGGTCTTTTGCTTTCTCTGTCCGCTGTTCCTCTCACCTCCCTTGGTTGATGAGGTAAAACTGCTGTCAGCTAAAAAAATAACTGAACAGTCAGAGGTTCTCATTAGCGGGTATGTGATGACTGTACTGTGTGATTTTGGTAGGAACCGAAGCCGACTGATGTTTCAAAAGCACGTGGCATGTGGGAAACCAAGGGCTCTTCCTCCCCTGCAAAGGTAAACAGACTGTAGCTCTTACTTATGCAAACACAAGTAATCATTTTTGGTTCATTCCTTTATTTATTTATTTTTCTTTTTATTTATTTTTTACTTTCTTTAATGTCAATTCCATTTGATGCACTTAGCAAAAGCACTGACACAAAGCCCAGTATCTGGATGAAAGGTAAACACAGTGAGTACTGCAGGAGTGCTGATAAGACTGTGCTATTGCACTCTATTATAGAGTTTATTTATTGTTTCACTATTGTGCATTAGAATGAGAGTATGCAAAAACACTGTATGGCTATGTGAAGTGACATCAATGCAAAGTATATGGGAGTGCAGGGCACAACCAAAACACCACACTCCACTAATACATTTCTAAATAGAACAAATATTTTTAAAATACGTGTAATATTTTACCCCACGGCACGGTGGCGCAGTGGGTAGCGCTGTCGCCTCACAGCAAGAATGGCCTGGGTTCGATTCCCGGCTGGGTGACCAGGGTCGTTTCTGTGTGGAGTTTGCATGTTCTCCCCGTGTCTGCGTGGGTTTCCTCCGGGTACTCCGGTTTCCTCCCACAGTCCAAAAACATGCAGTCAGGTCAATTGGACGTGCTAAATTGCCCCTAGGTGTGAGTGTGTGTGGATGTATATGTCTGTTTGTCTGCCCTGCGATGGACTGGCGACCTGTCCAGGGTGTATCCTGCCTTCCGCCCGATGACAGCTGGGATAGGCTCCAGCACCCCACCGCGACCCAGAAGGATAAGCGGTTTAGATGATGGATGGATGGATGGATTTTACCCCACATTAGGCTGTGGCCTGCACTCCCCATTGTAGTGGCTTACAGCTGTGCATATCAACACTGCATATAATAAAGTCAAACAGGAGTGATGCAACAGAAACTTTCAGAATAAAATGAAATAGCATTTAAACAGTTCAAAGCTACACTATGTAAGATTTTTTGTTAAAGTTGAAAGAAATAGCATTACAGGGTCAGTAAAATATGATAAATTATATAAAGCCTGAAATATTAATTTAAAAGTCAGAGGCATCTGGGTGGATTTCATCCAATTTCACCATGTCATACAGCTGTATGCCCTAACATCACACACAGGCTCAAGAAGAAGGTGTTTAGGTCTCAAATGCAAAGTCAACATTATACTGATGAAGATATGATGACAATAATAGATAATTCACTTACATCCTCAGAAGACACCTCCTTCACCAAGTTCTCTTTGAATGCTCTGTCAACACACTCGTAATCGTAAGAAGGAGTCTGAAGCACAACCAGCGTTACAAAATGTTCTTCTGCACATTGGGTGCAGTTACACATTTCCACCAGAGGGGTCTCCAAATCCCCAAACAAAACTTACATAGTGTAGCTTTAAGCAACAAAACAGGCCAAAAATATCATTATCTATATTATAATGATAAAAATATTACAATAATATGTAATGTATCATTTGGTCAGTTTGCTGCCATAGTCTAAAAAGCTGTGCTATACTGAAACTCTTTTGGCTTGCTGCATTGGTTTGCTGCTTCCTTTGTCATTGCATTTTGTCCATTACAAATAAACATGAATACATGCAACCACACACTTACACACACCTTTCACACTATGTCAGTATGTAATGTGTGGTTTGAGCACTGTGTTAATGCCTGGTATTGTTGTGCATTGGTAAAGATACAGTGTTCATCAGACTGTGCTGTTAGAAACTTGTGTACTGAATGATGCAACCCAGAAGTGCACCTCCAGGTACATGATGAGGCTGAACATTAAGGGGCAGGTTTACTAATGGTTTCACCATAAACCCTATGTTGATGTTAAAAAGTGATTGTCACAATTTACTAAATATGCGTGAAGGCCCTTTTGGATCAAAGGGGCGGGCGTTGCTTTTTGTGCTTTTGCCTTTTTGCATATGCATTTATAGGAGGAGCCCTGGTAGGGGATATATGTGTTATAATACAGCACCTACTTCCCTTTATTTAGATTAATAATAAATACTGACCGTGCCTTATATAAGGTCCGTATAAAGTCTTTTGTTTGGGGCAAACATGTCTGCCATTGTTTAATTTGTCAAATTTCTGCTATATTGTTTAAAAGTCTAATTACTTATGTCAAAATAATCATGTCCTTTCTCAACAAGTAATAACAATTTTTTTCATTCTCGGTCTAGTGAATCACAATTTGAACCAGAAACAAAGAAGGAACATGGTTATGTTGCAATGGTCATATGTTAATTCCAAAGTTGCACCTGTGTTCATTTGCATGGAAGTTCTCAGTAGATGAGCCGCTAAGTTGGCCCCCAGTGGCACAAAACGTGGGTAAACTGTCAGTAATTAGTGCCCCTTTTAGTAAACCTGCCTCTAATATGTTACACCTGACTTACTGTACATTAAAATACTCTTTTGTATTGTATTTGTTTGTTTAAGGTGTTTGCAGTCAAGAGTAAATCAGTCACAAATGGTAAGTTCCCCCTATATTTTTTTAGATAAGTGACAAAATAAATATCAGAATATAATATATTTATATTTTTATTACTGTCGATAAAACATTTTGAATCAGGTATGTTGAGAGCAGAGAAAACACTGAAATGTACACAGCAGCGTTCACACAGAACTAAGACCGAGAACAGTTGCAGATCAGTTTGTGTTAGATGTGAGCGTTGGGTTGCTAATGACCCAAGGTACCCTATAGAGAGTATGTGTGTATTTTCAGTAAGCGTGAGACTTAAAAGGTTCCACATTAAGTCCCATCTATGAGACTTCTTCTTCACAAATTCAGACGTTCTCACACTAAATAAGTAATGCACTGAAGTTACTTGGGTCACACTTTATTTTGATGGTCCCCTATAAATGATCTACAGATATTTAAATTATTAATAAACTTTCTGGTGATAGGTGATAATCAACAACGTTAAGGTTGGGCTTAGGTTTAGGAGTAGGGGTAGGTTTTGCCTTGATGTTAAGGTTAGAGTTAGGTTTAGGGTTAGGGAAAGATTTAATATAATCTTTCACTAGCAAATTCAAGTTCAGTTACATTTAATAGATATTTATTTGAATGTAACTTCAAGATATACTGAGCATCTACAAAGCATCTACAGTGGACCATCCAAATAAAGTGTTACCTTTACTTGATTCAGATGTGCACATCCCAGAATATATTACATCAACACAATTACTGCCAAAAGTAAACGTAAGTTGCTAATATATATTTTATTCATGTGTAAATTATTTGAAGGAGATTATTTGCCATGCCACACCGATCAGGGATAACATTTTGACCACCTCCTTGTTTCTATGCTCATTGTCCATTTTATCAGCTCCACTTACTATATAGGTGCACTTTGTAGTTCTACAATTACAAACTGTAGTCCATCTGTTTCTCTGCATACTTTGTTAGCCCCCTTTTACCCTGTTCTTCAGTGATCAGGACCCCCATGGACCCTCACAGAGCAGGTACTATTTGGGTGGTGGATCATTCTCAGCAGTGCAGTAACATTGACATAGTGGTGGTGTGTTAGTGTGTGTTGTGCTGGTACGAGTGGATCAGACACAGCAGTGCTGCTGGAGTTTTCAAACACTCTGTCCACTCACTGTCCACTCTATTAGACACTCCTACCTCGTTGCTCCGCCTTGTAGATGTGAAGTCAGAGACGATAGCTCATCTGCTGCTGCACAGTTTGTGTTGGTCATGCTCTAGTCCTTCATCAGTGGTCACAGGACGCTGCCGACAGGACGCTGTTGGCTGGATATTTTTGGTTGGTGGACTATTCTCAGTCCAGCAGTGACACTGAGGTGTTTGAAAACTCCAGCAGCACTGCTGTGTCTGATCCACTCGTACCAGCGCAACACACACTAACACACCACTACCACATCAGTGTTACTGCGGTGCTGAGAATGATCTACCACACCACCCAAATAGTACCTGCTCTGTGAGGGTCCATGGGGGTCCTGACCACTGAAGAACAGAGTAAAAGGGGCTACAAAGTAACAGATGGACTACAGTCTGTAATTGTAGAACTACAAAGTGCATCTATATAGTAAGTGGAGCTGATAAAATGGACAATGAGCGTAGAAACAAGGAGGTGGTCATAATGTTATGCCTGATCATCCCAGCATTTTTAAATATTTGTATTTCATATTTAGAAGCAACCATGGAGCAGCTAGGGTAATGCTATACCAAAAATGTAGTTAAGTAAGCAGCGTATGTGTAGTCTCATTGAATGTAATACACTAATAACATTGTATTTCATTTTCAAATGAAGTGGACATTGTGCAGTTAATAACTTCTAACTAACCTGAGCTGATGATGCAAAAACCAAAAAAATCAGAAACTGTCATGTAGTTTTCTGTCTTGAATTATTTCCCTTGCATGTGTGTGAAATATTTAAACTGAAAGCATAAGTAGAACATTGAGGAGACATGGGAGACAAAGGCTCGTGTCCAAAGTGGTTAAGACACTTATCCACACTTTGACACAAAGGGGAGTTTTTAATTGTGCTTGGTTGAAAAAAGATTTATGTTTTTTATGCAGACTGTTTTGCACCTATGACTGTCAAGCAAACAGATTGGGCTGTGCCCTTCTTAATTTGGTACAGCCCGCAGCTCCTCCGTTTGAATCAAGCAAATTCAATTCACCTTTTTTCAGTGCAGATCAAACGAGCTGAGTGTTGCTGTGATCTAGTGAACGTTCCTGACTGTACGTAGAGATGAAAATGAGCAGATGCAGTCAGGCAGCGCAGTGCTCGCTAGAGGGAGATGTGCTCTGACGTGCTAGAAGGTGTTTGACAGACAGCAGAGTGACAGCATACGCGTCATCTCCAGTGGTCTGCCAGGAGCTCCATTAATCTTACAGTCTGAATGCCACACAGCTCTATATTTACAGGCACGACCTTCTTGCACGTCATGTATGGCAGGTCGTGTATTTCCATTCTTCAGCCTGCGCCACCTGCACTGTAGCCCATGACGCCTCACATTGCCCACTGCAGCTGTCCTAAAGTCGCATTACAGCAGGGCAGGGCGTCACACTGACAGCGAAGAAAAAAAAAGTGTCATAAAGGTTCTTTGAGCGATGCCATAGAAGAACCACTTTGGGTTCCCTAAAGAACCATGTTTGAAAAAGAGATTTGTGAGTGTAAAGAATGTTTTAAAGGTATAGGTATAGTAATATATAATTTAAGGATTCTTCTAGATGTGGAGGTGTTAAGCTTTAAAAAGTTTCTTCACATTTACGTCTCATGTACAAAAATGGTTCTTTAAAAACCACCAATTGAAAGGCACTTTAGGAAACCAAAAGTGGTTCTTTCTGGCATCTTTGTTTTTAAGGGTGTGCTTAAAGCAGTGGTTCAGCCAAAATTTTGCACAGTTTTCCTCTTACCCAAGGTGTGGTCAGTTATTTTTGCACTATGAAAGCTTTTCACTCAAAAACGGATAAAACTGACAACAAAATTCGAGCTTATATATATATATATAAATTATAACATATATAAAACTACATATAAACAATATATAAACTACATTGCCCATAATGCCCCCACATTTTTAAATGTTTGTATGTCTATATAACAGCAACCAACCATGGAGCAGCTAGAGTAATGCTCGTGTTAAAGCTAACCACTAGTAGCCTAACAAAAATGAACATTACACTGCTACAAAGACATCAGTTAAGTAAACATTAAAACTGAGAACAAAAATCTACTCAAATCTACTGCTTTTAGCTGTTTTTACAACTATTTTTATGTATAACAATATATCGTACAGTGTCAGAAACGACATTAGCAAGTTAATTTGAGATTACTTAATAACTCATTGTGGTTTCATTCAAGTGTGTGTGATGATTTAGGCATGCAGTTTGCATGATGCTAATCTACTGGTGATACATCAGTGTAAATAAGTAAACATCACTTCAGACACACTGAGTGACGGAGATTTTTAGTGGTGTTTATTATCTTATTCTTTTCTAAATGGTCTTTTATTGTTGTTATAGATGTTACACACAAACAATCAGGTGGTGAAATGTCTTAAACATTTCATTGTTTATTGTGACTGTTATTCTGAACTTATGACCATACAGGGTGTGAATCTGAATCTGAAATATGTTGCTTGAAACCTGAGGATCTTGAACTTGAGAAAAGGCTAAAACTCTAGGCTTATCTTTCAGTTTTTCTTATGACTTATAATTCAGCATAACTACTATGAGCTATACAGCAAACACTATATAAAAGTTGAAAATATATAAATTATCTAGTTGTGACAATAAGAAACTAATATGTAGGCCCATGTTAAGGTGGACAGTACAATATGTTACTGTTTAATGATTTGTTATTGTTATTTCTGAGTACGGTCGCATGCAAAAGTCTGGGCGCCCCAGCCAACTGACATGTTTTGTTGATTTGTGTTGATGTGAAGTGAAAATTACTTAACACATCCTCTACAGAGGACAGACAACACACTTCTGCACAATGTAGTGCACAGCTACTGTTTATTTGCTAAATTTAACATAGTACAAAAAAAGAAAAGCTAGATAGTGTTAGATTGGGGTGTTTAAATTTCTGCATACATCTGCACATTTGTAGTAAAGATAAAATGTGTGTGTGTATGTTTTATTACTGCTTTAAAGGAGAGGATGAGATACACGGCCCATTAGAATTAATAGCACATACAAGGGATTGAGTTAGGAACTAATGTGCTGTTGGTTCACTCCCTCCACATGAGGCCTTCACTGCCTTAGCACAGCCTTAGAGCTGAAATCGCTCCAAAGAATGATGCTCTAAGCCTTTGCTAATGTGAAAGGCATCTGTCCATCACAATGGTGTCACACTGTGAGACCTCTAACAGCATCGCACAGCCTGTGTGCGTGTCAGGGTCAAAGAAAACATACTAACATGCTTTGAGAGATTCCAATGAACAGGCAATTGATTTCCTTACTGTAGTGTATATGGACTGTGAATTGTCATGTATGGACCATAAGTAAAAATATGTTCTAACATTTCCTCTGTTTCTCTGCAGGAACAAGGAAATAAGCACCGATAAATGGCCCCTCATGAAGACAGAACAAGATTGCTGCATACAGTGTGTATGTTTTATACGTAAATGTCACATTTGCATACCAAAAGGAATCAATGTGGTTGGAAAGATGAAACTACTTAATGTGTTTTTTTTTATTGGATTGGACAAAATAACAATAGCATTATAATTCCTGTGTATTTCTTTCTTGTACTAGTCAATAATCGAGCTGACACCCAGGCTACGTTCAGTCCTGGTTTATGAAGTAGAGTTAATTCCCCTGGACAAATTTCTTTGTATAACAAAAGAAATGTAGGGATGTAGCTTGTTGTATTTTGTGTAATTTTGGCACATCTGGACTTGATGTTTCAGTGGTAACCACCAGTCTGTAAAGATACTTCGCTTCAGTATGGTACACCTTCATTACAAATTGGAGTGACCTTATTGTTTTGCTTTCTGAAGTCATGATCTCTGCTAGCACAGCACATTAGAGCACAGCTTAACTATGCGCTTTTACACCCAGCTTTGTGTTCAGCATATTAAAAACATGGCAGCAACATGATCCACTTTAATAAGTGAATGATTCTCATTTTTGTTCGTTTTCCTCTTCTTTATTATCAGCTGCTCTAGTAATCCTCATGCTTTTCCAAACACATACAAATAAAGCACTCAGAGTTGGCAGACTCACACAGACTCAATTGCAAAAATGCAAGTACACTTTTGCACAACCTCAGAATGTCCACTAGTGGTGTTTGGGTGGTATTACAGTATAATTACGGACTTAGTAACCGAGATTCTCAAAAACAAAAGAAAAATCAGTGTTTGTGAAAGTCTTGATTGTAGCATCTTTATTATCCTCCAATCTGTAACAATTAAAGTGGAGACAAAAACTCTCAATAAAAGTCGTCTTGTGTCTTTTTTGCTTGACCTTTTCACACTTTAGCTTTCGGGCATTTATCAAACTTCAGTGCAAGCTGTATGAATCCCAACCATTCTAACATATAGGATTTCAAAAGGGTTGGGGGTCAGGCGAGTTCAGCTGTGGACAAACAGAATGTGAGGTTTTAGAATTTCACTGAATGGTGTTTGGAAAGTCTTGCACAGTCCAAAAATAGACTAAGGCCTTTAACACAGGCCAATAAAAATGCTGTGTGGTCACGTGGTGGCTGTATATGTTAACCTTGGTGACTGGAACCCACCTGTCTGGACTCGGCACGCCAAAGAAGAAGTACTCCTCCTCTGGGAGCTGGTAAGAGGAATTCCACTCCACATCAATAGCACTGATATTTAGCACATGATGTCTTTATATTTTGCCTTTATCAACTGCAAAAAGTAATGCATGCATTGAAAATAGTTCTATAAAGCACCAAAAAGGGTGCTTTTATTATTACAAGCTTGTCATTGTAACCATAGAAGAACCCTTTTTGGGGTTCACTGACCAACACTGAACACTGACCAACTAAGGTTTCATTACAGAGAGAGTCCTGTTTAACCAGATTTATTGTCGTGCAATATGTGAATGCTTCACAATCATTTTAAATGTAATTTTTAAATATATTTTAAATGTATTTTAATACGTTTGTCTTTCACATTTTAAATGCATTGTTTGTTCCAACTTATCAAACAAACCTCAGAAAAACTAAATATGGCGATGCATATTGTGTTATGTGAAAATATCTCAAAGAATTGTGATGTCGTTTTTTCCCACCCCTACATTCAATTTTTGTGATTCAAATGTGTGCAACCATAATGGTGTTGATGTAATACATTATTACACTGACACAGTTTATTTAAACTGAATGAAAACATTGCATTGAATAAATATATTTTGTTCATGCATAATGATGTGCACATTTGAATCAAGTCTTGAATGAAATGCATTACTTGTTTGTTGTACATTGATGCAGAACCAGAGCATTTAGATATACATTGTTTGATTGGACTTTCTCTGGAGATCCTGTTAGCTTTTGACTTGACCTCTAGATTCCTTTATTCTATGTGCACGATGCACTCATACTGCAAAATACTACAATGTAAAGAGAGCTTTAGGCTCGAGGTAACCTTAGTTGGGATGCTGTGCAAAATGTCAATATAAACAGAGTGTAATGCTGTGAAAATCATTTAAACAAAATATTTAATTTAAAATAATATGAAGACAACATATCAAACTGAGAAACTGTTTTGTTTTTTGAAAAATATATGCCAGCTTTGAATTTGATGCCAGCAACATGTTTCAAAACAGTTGGGATGGGGGTTGGTAAAGTTGAGTAATCTGAAAAAACTCCTTGTGGTTGATTGGCAACAGGTCAATAACATGATTGGGTATAAAAGAGCATCTCAGAGAGGCTGAGTCTATCAGAAGTAAAGATGGGGAGGAGTTCACTCTGTGAAAGACTGCACAGGCAAATAGTGCAAAAATTTAAAAATAATGTTTCTCAACATAAAATAGCTATAGATTATGTACTGTATAGATTTCATCATATACAGTACATAATATCATTAAAAGATTCAGAGAATCTGAAGAAATGTCTGGATACAAGGGGCAAGGTCGAGAACCAATTTTGACTGGCCATAATCTTCAGGCCCTCAGGTGGCACTGCAATAAGCACTCCCATGATTCTGTAGTGGAAATCACTGCGTGGGCTCAGAAACACTTCCATAAGAAGAAACTATATACAGAATTTAGAAACACTGTTGCCTTCTCTGGGCCCAAGCTCTTTTAAGATGGGCTGAGGTGAAGTGGAAAAGAGTCCTGTGGTCTGACAAATCAAAATTTAAAATTCTTTTTGGAAATCATGGATGCCGCGTCCTCTGGGCTAAAGGCCACCCGACTTATTATCAGCACACAGTTCAAAAGCCAGTATCCGTGATGGTCTGGGGGTGCATTAGTGCACATGGCATGACTTACACATCGGTGAAGGCACCATTAATGCTGAATGATATATACAGATGACATCTTTTTCAGAGAAGGCCTTGCTTATTTCAGCAAGACAATGCCAAACCACATTCTGAACATATTACAACAGCAAGGCTCCATAGTAAAAGATTTAGGGTGCTGAACTGGCCTGCCTGCAGACCTGTCACCACTGAAAACATTTTGCTCATTATGAAATGAAAAATACAAAAAATGATCCCCAGAACTGTTGAGCAGCTGAAATCCTATACAAAGCAAGAACAGGAAAACATTTCAGCTGACAGTACGTGACTAAAGTGCCCTGGAGCAAGGCACCTAACCCCCAACTGCTCCCCGGGCGCCGTGTATAGGGCTGCCCACCGCTCCAGGCAAGTGTGTTCACTGCCCCCTAGTGTGTGTGTGTTCACTAGTGTGTATGTGGTGTTTCACTGCACGGATGGTTAAATGCAGGTCTAATTCCGATGTGTTCAGACACAGTTGGCTAAAAGGTTCATTTCATTTCATTCACTTTCAAAACTACAGCAGTTGGTCTCTTCAGTTCCCAAACACTTACAGAGTGTTGTTAAAAGAAGAGGTGATGCAACACAGTTTTAAACATCTAACTTTTTTTAATTGTGCTGGAATCAATTTCAAAATAGGCGTATTTTTTTCAATAACAATCAAATTTCTTAGTTTCAATATTTGATAAGTTGTCCTTGTACTATTTCCAATAAATTACAGGGTTTAAATGATTTGCACATCATTGCATTCTATTTTTATTTATATTTTACACAGCGTCTCAACTTTTATGGAAACAGGGTTGTAATTGAATGCGCTGAAATTAGCTATGCTGACATTTTAACACTATGTGAGTGGTTATACTGTGTCTTAAGTGTTTGTATGCTGGCCTGTGTTTAAGGGAATAATTGCTGATAAAGATGGCAGATAATGAAGAGTTTATGGACGAGGAGGTTCAGTGAGTAGCTGATGTTTGAGAATGACTTTGTTTGCATAAACACAGATAACAGAAATAAAATATAATAATGTTAAATAGCACCATATTACTGATCAGTATTAAGTATTATTGTGTGATTAATAACAGGCACGTTGTTTCTGTTCACTGTTTGTGTTGAAACAGGGAAGAAGGTAGGTGTGCACTTCCTGTTTTGGGGGGTTAGTGTGCTGATTTGTGTTCCTGTCATTAAACATTCAGTAATCTGTGTGCGAGACATTGCTCCCTCTTCAAACATGCTGCATGTGTGACTGAACCTTCCAAATGGCTCATTTATCCTGTTGCACACAGAAGTGGATGTAAACTAAATGCATCTCTGGTTATTACTTTTTCTCAGATAATGCATTGATAAATATGTTTGTTTTTTTTTCCAAATTTTAGTAGATGATTCAAAATCCAAACCTAAGTAAGTTCCTCTCCTCTTCTTTAGTCATGATGTCTTGTATTGATCACTGTTCTAATCAGCTGAACTCCTTTATTCATTTCACCTTTTATTTTGTAGATTTATGTCAAACATTCAGGCACCAAAAATTCCAGAGGGAGAAAAAGTAGACTTTGATGTAAGTTTCTGGAACACCCTCCATTACGTCCTCCTCTTGTAAAGTTTTTTATGTATGTAAATGATTAGATGTATCTGATTCAATATTATTATTATTTAATTTTATATTTAATATACATATTTCATATATATATCTTTAAAGGCAAAAATATTATTTTTTGTTTGTTTTCTTCTTATTATTATTATCATCATTATTATTCTGTAATTAAGTCATTGTAATTATACACTTAAGAAATGTTCTACAATGTGTGTTCTACCCAGTTGCTTAAACCTGTTTAACTCAGTAAAGGAAGAGGAAAACCAATACCTCACGTGATAAACAGGGAATAAAAAGCCAAAAGAGAAGTAAGAAGTAAATTCACTCAGAGTAAAAAGTTTCAGTATAAGGTCTGCACATATATTGTGGGACGTATCCTAAGTGTATAATTATTATTATCTAAAATAAGGTTAGAATTGAATGTTTTCATCAATTAAGGACACTGATATCAACCAAACTAAATACTGAATAATTTGAGTTTCAATAGCTGTTATATTTATGTTCTGTGTGTATATTCTCTGAAACGTTATAAGGGGACAATTAAAAGTTGAACTGGCAATGTGTGTGTGTGTGTGTGTGTGTGTGTGTGTGTGTGTCTGTGTGTGTAGGACATCCATCGTAAGCGTCAGGAGAAGGACCTGGCTGAGCTGGAGGCTCTGATCGAGGCTCACTTCATCCAGAGGAAGAAAGAGGAAGAGGAGCTCATCGCTCTGGTCAACAGGATCGTGAGTGTTTCAGGTTTACAATACTGCCCCCTACAGCCTATAGCTGAGATTCAGGTTTGATTTTTAGCTGTGTGATGTGCCTTCCGTGGCCAAGGGGCTTCCAGGATGTGATTGACTGCATTCTCACGTAAAGTAAAAGGATAGTAAGATTTTTCTCAACCACATTGTTACTCATATAGTATATATATAGTATATGTGCAAAAAAAAATGCATATATATATATATATATATATATATATATATATGTATGATGAAAAAAGTTAAAACAGTCTTCATAATAAATCATGACATTCTGATTTCTGTCAAAATTCTGTCTGATTACCGACAAACTTCACAGGTGATGTTGCTAT